TTGGAGTCACGTGAGATCTTTTGGGCCACTCAATGGCCAGATATTGATGAGTAGTGTCAAATCTTATGATAGCAATTCTTGTTTTTGAAGCCTGGTCTGTTGTTGTCAAAAGCATGTTTTACTCTCTCAGGCAAGTTGTTTGTGATTGTTGACGCTGATAACCGCTGGTTACTGAAACTTTTGTAGAATCGTGCTGGTCAATTTTGCAGATTTAAAACAGTGAAACTATTTGATGATGTACTATTTCAGATGCAATATAGTGCAGCATTTTTTTAAATAATTTTTTTTCTATTGAGAACTCAGGAAAAAATTGTTATATTTTCTACGGTCGGCAATCAAATAAAATAAGAAAAAAGAGTTTGAATGCCTTTGAATGACTCAGTAAAGAAGTATTAGAGTGACAGTCGTTAAGTAAGAAGTACATAATAAGTAGTAGCGGTCCCATCATGGTTGTGTGGTGATGTTGTAGAGATGTGCATGCATGCGAATGGCATTCAGGATGAACCAGCTGATGAAATTAAATTCATCCCAGATAATCCAACTCAATTGCTCTTTTCATCAGTCCATGCCTTCGTTCCTTTTCCTCTCTATATCTCTCTCTCTCTATATATATATATATATATCTCTCTCCTGATCTACTGTCTTTTCTATTTTTCAATCGTTGGTTTTCTTCTTTGTGTGTGTGTGTGTATGTGTTTATGTGTGTTTGTGCGTGTTGTTGGTTTGTCTATAAGTGATGTGCTGTTTTGACATAACCCATGCTATAATATAAAACTAAATATAAGTTTAGAGATTAGATTTTATAAATTTTGCTGGAGTTTATAAACATCTTGCCATCTTTAAAAATTTCCAGCTGAAATTGGCAACAAAATGATGCAACACTTGCTTTTGTTTCATCTGAAATGCCTTCAAATGGCGTTTTTATTATTGCGTACCAAAAAAATGTACCAAAAAAAGTTTGACAAATGAACGTTTTAATGAAATTTAACAAAACATACTTCATTTAAATACGACTGTACCGTAGGCCCAATGTCAGCTGAATGTGTCGCTGATTACAAAATTTTTAGTAGTTAGAGCTACGTTAGATTAAATTATTCTATAATTGGTCTATGAAATTTTATAAAAATGAATAACATAATGTTACCTGAAATCGACTTATTTATTTTAATAAACGAAATCAATAATTAACTTATTTTTACATTTTGTCTTTTTATAAGTTGTTCTACATACCAGGGTTTCAATAGTTATGGTTACCGAAGAAAACATTTTCACAAAAAAGTTTATCACAGAATTGTTTACTGATTTGGAAATCAAACATCAAACACTGCTGAATTACGATGCATTGTTTTGCAGCTGAGTCATACCCGCCATTTAATCAGTGTCGTGTGGAGTTGATAGGCATTAAGTCATGACATCAATTCCTACCCAGCTGTTTAATGTTGGGAGGGTCTTGATGGCTACTTGTGGTGCTGACGGCCAGATAACGAATCGATGTTGTGCCGATGTTCTGTGACGCTCTAATGTTTTCCAAGTTTTTAAACTCATAGCAGCCGTTTCATTTTGTATTATTTCTTTAGATGATCATGACCAATTACATATTCATTGGTTTGTTTATAGAGATGACCAATCACAGATCAACATCGCCTTCGTAACATTTCATTTGTTTACTTTTCGCAAGAACTTCTCATTAAAACTTAACGACATTTTAATTAATTACAATTTCTTAATGTAGTTGAACACGGAAAATTGTCAGCTTGAATATTTTGAATAAACTGTAAAAACACACACCCTCACAGAGACACGTCCATTTGAAAATGCGCAAACTTCTCTTCAGCAGGATTATAAATTTAATTTCTGAAACATCATGTCAGAAACATTTTCAACCGCTGATCTGTTTTTTTTTTTCATGTAACATCACAAGGCTTCGTATCAGAGTTTCAAATGAGAAACATGCTTAACACACGTGTCCTTCTTCATCATTCACAAGTTTTTTTTACAAAGTCTTCACGGTGCGCGTGCCTATTAACATTTCAAACATTCCCTTTTCATGTTATAAACATGCTTGAATGTGTGTATACATGAACGCAAGAAACTACTTACATTGCGTACTTACATACTTACTTACATTACATTACATTACAATACATTACATTACATTACATTATGTCTAAATGTTTGATAATACGCCCAAATATCCACCCGACCTAAATATATATATTTACATTATATTGATACAATATAACAAACATTACATAATCAACACACTCACACACACACACACACAAACAAACAAAATACTTACACACACATATATACTACTCACACATACAAACTACATACTTAAACACACAATTAATACATGCATACACACACACACACAAACAAACTAAATACTTACACCACATATATATACACACACAGTATAGAGTACACACATACATGCACATCATTGGGAAACAAATGAACACAAAGGCTGTTAACATGCAGTTGTGTTTTTGTTCCAAGAGAACGAATTTATACAGCGATAAATAAAGAGATCTTGTTTTCATTGCCGATTGAAACAAAAGAATTAGTAGTATGAACAGAGATATCTAATGATTGAAAGAATAAATTAAAGAACAAACAAACACAAACAAACAAACATGAACAAACAAACATGAACAAACAAACACGAACAAACAAACATGAACAAACAAACATGAACAAACAAACATGAAAAAACAAACATGAACAAACAAACATGAACAAACAAACATGAACAAACAAACATAAACAAACGAACATGAACAAACAGTTAGAACATGACAACAAAACAAACCAAAGTATACAGAATGAAGCCGACAGTAATATAAAGGAACATCTGAAGTTTATAGAAGAATAGTTTGAATACAATAAAAATAATTGGTCGGCGTAAAAACATAAAAAATACATAAAGATTGACTCAGTCAGTAGTACCAATTAAATACACACACCACACCCTCACACACATACATGGAATACATCGTCGCGTTCGACGAATTGTGTCATTGATGAGTCCTTTGATGCGAGAACAAGCCTATTCTTGATGAACATCGACGACCACAGGATCCGCAAACCCACACCCCTGTGCTGTTACCATTCCGGGCCACCTGCTTACGCCGTCCTATTTTTCCAACTAGAGCTGCAATGCGCGCCTCCTCAAAGGCGGAAACTGCCGCTTGTGAGCGTGTCTTCCACTGTGAACGCTCGAGCGCAACGACACCCAAGGTTTTAGAATCCAGTCCGACTTTTTTTAGGTTTTCCTTCAGATTATCTTAAAATCTGCGAACTGGACTGCTTGCAAGGCGAACTCCAAAAGCCAGCTGTCCGAAAAACACCTGTTTGGGAATTCTTGTGTCCGGCATGCGGATAACGTGTCCCGCCCAACGAAACTGTGCCTGTAACAAAAATGCCTCGATACCCAAGATACCACACATTTCCAATACGTATATGGCGCCTATAAGTAATCCATGTCTCACATCCATACAACATTGTGGTTAACACAACTGCCTTATAGACAGATATTTTAGTAGCCAGCGACATACCCCGTTCCTTCCAGAGTCGTCCACTCAAACCACCAAAAGCAGCACCAGCCTTGGCAATCCTAACCGTAATTTCATCATCGATTGCAGTAATGTAGGAGAGGTAGCTACCAAGGTAGCAAAATCGATCCACAGCGTTCAACTGCGAGCCACCAATAGTTACGATGGCTTTAGAATCCGACGAAATAGGATAGCTTTGGTGCAGAACCTCTGTTTTCTTCCTGCTCACCGTAAGTTCAAACCTTTCTGCAGTAGTGTGGAAACAGTTGAACAGAGCCTGAACTTCACTTTGTGTATGTGCAACCAAAGCGCAGTCATCCGCAAAGATCAGGTCGCGGACTATTGTGGTTTGTGTTTTTGACTTTGCTTGTAGGCGTCTGATGTTGAAAACGTCTCCATCCATGCGATAGCAGATTGGAATGCCCTCTACACAATGTGGAAAGGCGACTCGAAGCATTAGGGAGAAGTAAATGTTGAACAGCAATGGAGCCATGACACACCCCTGCATGGTACCATTCGTCACCTCAAAGTCCGGGGATTGATCACCATTTTCAACTACGGTTGCCCTCATGCCTTCATGGAAGGAGCGAATAATCGACACTAAAATCGGAGGACAACCGGTCTTTTTGATACATTTCCATAACGCTGAACGGTTGACGGAATCGAACGCCTTTAAATCTATGAAGACGAAGAAAAGTTCGCGTTGTTGCTCACGACATTTTTTTTGAAGTTGTCTGGCAGTAAAAATCATATCCATAGTACCACGACCAGCCCGAAAGCCACACTGACCCTCTGGAAGGATACCAACATCATTGACGTACTTGGTTAGGCGGTTGACGATCACGCGGGCCAATATTTTTCCAGGAATCGATAGCAGAGAAATGCCTCTGTGATCATCACAGCATGAACGATTCCCTTTCCGTTTGAATATGTGAATGATAAGGGCATCCTTAAAATCTCGAGAAACCGATTTCCTATCCCACATTTGAAGAGTTCTGCCGGCAGCCTGTCCAAACCCGGAGCTTTTCCATTCGACATTTGGGTGATTGCTTTTTCTACTTTAGACAGGCTAGGGGGATCATCGAGATCACCTGCAATGCTCCAGTCAGGCAACTCAGCAAGGACTGAGTCATCAAACCGGGATTCTTGATTTAGCACACTGTTGAAGTGTTCAGCCCAACGAGCCAGGATTCCATGGCCATCCTTGATGAGTGTTTGACCATCTTTAGACAGTACCGGGACGCTACTGGAGCTGCGAGGACCAAACACAGTTTTCAGATTTCTGTAAAATGATTTCATGTCCCCGCGGCCGGCCGCTACTTGCAATTCATCAGCTCTGGCAGACCACCAAGATTCCTTCATCTGACGAAGCCTCCTCTGTGAAAAACTGCGTGCTTGCGTGTAGCATGCTTTCTTGACGCAGTTGCCCCTGTCATCTATCTAAGAAAGATGGGTGCTGTGCATGTTGTCCAGCAGCCCACGTGCCTTCGTATCCTGATTGTCGAACCAGTCCCTATGCTTAATACGCTGATATCCAAGCACATTAACCGCAGCTTTCTCCACAATCTGCTTGAAATCTGACCATTCTGTGCTCTCATTTGTTGAAAACTCACCACACAATGCTTCGCGGAACAAATTTCTAGCTGACGGTTCTGTTATCCGAGTCACATCTAGTTTGGCTTTCCTTACAGTTTTGTGATGCCTTCTGACTGGTTTAACAGTAAGAAACACCGACATCTTGATGAGGCGATGATCTGACCACATTGTTGATGCTCGCACCGCTTTAGTTAGACGAGCGAGACAAAGATCGCATTGTCTGATAAGTATGTAGTTGATGAGATGCCAGTGTCCTAAACGTGGATGTTTCCAGCTAGTCTTCTTCCTGTCAGCCTGTTGGAAAACTGTATTTGTCACCACAAGATTGTGCTCTGTACAAAATTCGAGGAGCATAATTCCATTTGAATTTTCCCTAACAAACCCATTTCGTCCAAGCACTTTTGGCCACAAGATGTGGTCTTTACCTACACGGGCGTTAAAATCACCCAAGACAAACAACTGATGGTTGTGTGGTGTTGAACGAACAGCGTCACCGAGCTGCTCATAAAACAAGATCTTCTCCTCAAAAGTTGCTCCAAGCGTTGGCGCATAGCAGCTGATCAAGGTAGCAGTGTGACCACCCTCCAGGTTGAGCTGCATCCTCATTAGGCGTGGTGAAATACCATAAGGTACCTCATGTACAGATTTCAGGAGTGTGCTACGAATGGCAAAGCCCACTCCACCAGTACGCACCTCACCTGCAGGATGACCTTGGCAAAAGAAGGTGTAACCAGCACCTCTCTCCTCAAACTGTGCTGCTGCAGAGATTCTTGTCTCGCTGAGCGCAGCAACATCGATGTCATAACGCGCAAGTTCACGCGCAACAATGGCAGATCGACGTTCATGACACCTCCCAAGATCCAACATTGTCCGGACGTTCCATGAAGCCAAATTTAAAATTTTTTTTTTCTTTTGACCGCATAGTAGGATACCCAGTCAGCCGCGGTAGGCTGACAAGGTCGGCAACATATTGGCTAGCTTTTTTTAGAACAGATTTTTTAGTCCCCTCTCCGGTTGGAGAAAGCAGTGCATCCCTGGATAGGGCTGCTTTGTCACCCTGGCAGGATACGAAAATTGCTGTAGCCATCAGCAACAAACGACCATCACACCAAGGCCGCCTGTGTGTTGTGTTGTGACTAGACACTGCCAGTAGTACCCTCTACCTGTGCCCGTCGCCAATCGCCGCAGGACTTTGTTTGCACATCCATTCAAGCATCAGACCACCAAGACCACCTTCACACTGGTTGGTTTAAGTGGAGCATGTTTGTGCGGCATGCTACATGGATAAAACTGCGGTGCAGTTTTATCCTCGTAGCCAACTATCCTGGCTAGATTTTTAATTGGGTTCACTCCCAGGCCTTTCCCAAGCGTGGGTATAGCCGCAAGGCTGCGGAGGTTTGAAATCAGAGTTTTCCTTCTCCTAGATGGTATTTCCTTACGAGCGCCATCCGCCCGGAACCTGGTTTAGGCGCCAGTAACTCGCCTTCGCCCTCTCCTGTTAGTTAGTAGCAGTCCCCGCCACGTGCAGGAAGGAGTAGGATTTCGATGGTCGGAGCGCGCACGCTACAAGCCTTTGGTGGCATTTTGTAGAACTGGGGAGTTCAGCCCCCAGATCATTACCGGCAAACCATCGCGTTTGGGGGCCACACACATACACACACACACACATACATTTATTCATACACAAACACACACATACGCAATACATTTTTATATAAACAAAGTTGAAGCAAAATAGTAAGAATGATGATGTATGTATTTAGCACAAGCATACATTATATACAAACAAAATATACGAATGTAATGAACAAAGATAAAACATTGTGTTCTTTTTCTTTGCTTTACCTACTCCCCTTTCAACCCTTGTTAAAAATTTTGACGCATCCTACAAATTTTACTAAAAAAATAACTTTTTTAATTTTCCAATATTGCTGTTTGTTAAATGTCTAATGAGTCCACAGCAACCACATCGTCACCATCAACCGAAACATTTACGTCTCTTGCAAACGCGCTCTTGTTTTCTTCGGCAAGAATATGAAACAAAAAATTGATATCCACAATAAGGAAAAATGGAATGAGCAAGACGCTAAAGTTGTGTCTGTCGCGAGTGAAGCGTAGAAAGAAGATCCAGGTTATTAGTTCTGGTGAGAAGCAGACATCCATCTCTAAGGAGCAATCAACATGCTGCATTCTTCTACTTTTCACTCATATTACATGGCTTCTTATTTTTCTCTCCGTCACTCATTACCAATTGTAAAATCATTGTCCGTATCATAGCGAGGATTGTTTTGTCAGAGGCTCCTTTCTGCTTTGGTTTGCAAGGTTGCTTGTAGCGTTCATGCGTTTTTGTTATCTCAAATGTTTTTCATTTTCAGAATTTATTGAGAATTTCGAAATGATTTGGTTGAAATGAGTTGGCATTTTTAACTATTACCTCCATCATAAATCAACATGGTACTTTTGCTGATTAAAATACAATAAAATTTTATTCTCGATGTAAAAATGGACATCTTTAAATTTTAGCCAAAGTTTATTAAATTATAGAAGTTAAATAAATTGAAGTAGTTCGATTTAAACAAGCAATAAATTTAATCAGTCAGAGAATATGAAAGTTTAACGAATATCATCAGTCAATTAAAATTTGTTTGTACATTTCAAAAACAATAAAATTAGAAGGCTATTCGTGATGGATGCACTCTTTGAAAAGGTAGGTAGGGATCACAAATTTGTGACAGTGTGACAAGAGTGGGGTGGGAAAATACCTGATGTGACATCCCGTTTTGCCTTTTTTCATTTCCATCATTACTGAGTAGAAATTTTGCTGAAAGTTTGATGATAAATAAGTTAATAAAAATTACGCATCAGCAAAAAAATATATTTCCTTGATGCTTTATTTTTCGATGCTTTATTTTATTTTAATATTCCTTTCATGAAGTTATGAACGCGCTCGTCGGCATTCAACGCAATTAAACGTCTTCGATTTTCATCTGTCATTCGTCACATGATTAATATGCGTGAAACATTTCAAGTCGCTAGCAGTGAAGTCGCTACCTTTCAAACGAAGGATCAAAAATTGTGGAATATTCTATGTGGGTGGATTGAAAATTCGTGACGGAAAAGAGTGAGAATCAAAAACCGCAAAAAAAAACGTGATATTCTTTATGAACAGTTCTCAAGGCAAACTCCTATGATTTTAATTTCTCATTGGTATTAGTTATTAATCTCTTCGGCACTGCATGGCGTTGTTGCCCACAGTGCAACACACAACACAGCGCCGATCGCGACAACACAACATTTATATTTGCTTGCAACGACCCAACATCTACATTGTTGAAGAGAAGCTGTAATTTTATAACACGGTTCAAACTCATCTAATGTATTTAAGAAAACCTCTAGCAACAAAGTTTCAAAAGAAATTCAACAACATAAATTGATTCGCAGTTTTGTTATTCCAAATTCAAAGTGGTTATTGAAAGCGAGTTTTGCATTTGAAAGATAATACTCTTTACCGCAACTGCTTAAACAAAACTGGATTTATTGGGCTTCTGATTGGCGTCATGTATTTTTGAATGATTTAAATGTAGACGAAGATCTCTGTTGAGCCGGTTGTACTGACTGCTCTGCTGAATGAATATGGCATGAAGAGGTTTCAACATGTTTACTCAATTTCGTTATGCTAACAATCTATTTATACAAACTTGGTACGTTGGTCTGGTGTTTGCATGTGTACTGTTAGGAATATCTGTTTGTGTGTGTTTGATTTTATATAAATATGAGTGTGTGTGTGTGTGACGTTGTATGTGTGTCGTTGTGTCTGTGTGTGTGTGTTGTCGTTTTGTGTGTGTGTCGTTGTTTCGTTAACGGTATGTCAACGTGCTAGAATGTGCGTGTGTTTGTTTAAACATGCATTTACGTGATTACGTATGTGAGACGGTCGGCATGTGCGAACGTTTTCGGCATGTGCGTCAGTTTGTATGTGGATTACGGGGGAAGATTACTTGCGTGCGTGCGTGCGTGCGTGCATGTTTGGTTCGTGCTCTGATGTACTGCGTTGCATGCAAATGTTGATGGCTCGTCGCTGAAAGGTCAAGCCATTTAATATACTTCCGCCAGCGTAATTAATAATAATATTTATTTGCTGGCAGTCATTAGGAGCGTCTGTGTTGTACAATGTACAGTTTAATATTAACGCTCATTTGGCACAGTTTGTCTATGCTTTTTATTTGAGGTGCTTATTAGTAATGTCTGTTGTGGACAATTTGAAACTATTTCCTCAAATCGTTTATTCAAAGATTGGTAAGCCTTTATTTAATAAAAATAAGACTTATAAGACATTAACAAAACGTTCTGTTTGAAAATATAAATTAAAACTCCTTCTCTGAGTTAATCACAAAAAAGTGAACTTATTTCAAAATTCTTTAATTACAGTAGCATGCAAATTTTAACTGAAATGAAAATATAAATATTAATCAACAACACAAATACACAACGATACAATTTCAACACAACAAAAGCATTAACAGACAATCCATTGTTGGGACAAAACAACTGAAGCTGCAAAATATCATGCTCAACACAAAACAACAGGCTCATGAAATAAAAACTGCTTTTTAGTTTTTGTACTTGAGCAACAAAACAAAAAAATGAGAACAAATGCCGTCGGTTCTAACCGCGCAAAAACAACACACATCCGTAACATTTGCTAGTCATACAGACTCCCACATACACACAACACACACACACGTACAAAGGCGTGTAGTACACTCAAACACACATGAACACACACACGTACACACACAGGTACAAAGGCGTGTAGTACACTCAAACACACACACGTACACACACACACACATACGTATACAGAGGAACTTTGCATTCCATTGTAATGTAACGTAATATATGATGACGTCATTTATAGTTGGGCAGCAGAGATAGAGCACGTCCAGCGAAGAATTCATTGACGTTCCACGTTTGCTTTCATGACGTCATCTTTGATCAGCATGTTACGTCACGAACATGAAGCCACGTGATATCAAGTTCATGCTATTTCAAAGTTGCTGATGTCATAGAGCTTCTTTTTTATATGTGAAAGCTTATTCCGAACAGAATGAAATATTCGTCTCATGTTTCGTCAACTTTATCAACGTCTGACTTTATCATTTTTTGACACATGCATCACAACATGTGATATTTGATTGTGATATACATTGTGATATCTGATCATGATATATAATGTGATACATTGATTGTGATATACAATGTGATATATAATGTGATACATTGATTGTGATATTTTCAATTGGGTGACTCAATCTCAAACATGTTTTCTTGTTGTAATCATCATCTCTTGTAATTTCATGCGCACACCGAATCAGGTAGCATTGTCACAAGTATTTCTTTGCTTCATTAATTAAAACAAACAATGTATGTTATGTGGAGCTGATCATAGACGCTTTTACGCAATCAGTTTCTGCTTTGCTGGCAGAGCATTTTAAGCCTGTATGATAATATTCATTTATTGGACAGAAATGTTTATTTCATCTTGTCATTTTTTTAGATTTAAATGAATATTTGTTGAAATTAAACAAAGAAAAATCCCC